GCTGCAGTCAGGTATTATTGGATCGAGTCACAAACCATTGCTTTGGTCTGTCACTGCTTTCCAAACATGGCGGCCATCATGGAGCATCTTCATGAAGTCGCTCGTGAGTTAGCAAGAGATATTTTAGACCTTGCAGAGAATGTAGAAGCAGGAGCTGCTCAATCACAGCATGTGACAAGTAAAGCAGAGGAATTTCTGTAAGTTCTTGGAGTTATTTCCGCTCTTTCCGACCAAGATATTGACCGACAAGTGTTTGCAAACTTGGAAGAACTTCTCCAGCGCTTCTCCGGTACCAGTGCACAACACACACCCGGACCAGGACGCCTGGCTCTTGACATTCCCACTGCTGTTCTGGAGCATCATGTTCTTTGTGGATTACCACCGTGTGAAATTGCAGAGAGTTTTGGAGTGTCAACGAGGACAATCAGGAGGCACATGAAACAAAGTGGTCTAAGGTAATCACAGCTAATGTCACGATATGTTGCTCAAGTTTACTAGAAACAAGTGGTGTCATTAATTTTCAAAAAATATGTAGTAAAGCGTAACTTACTCAATGTTTTTTGTTCTGTGCAGAAAGACTGATCTCTATTCAGATGTTGCTGATGAGGAGTTGGACCATATTGTGAGTAAAGTCCACAGAAGCCATCCAAACACCGGCTACAAGCTGATGCGTGGACTTCTGGATGCAAGAGGTGTCCGTGTTCTAAGTGAGTACGATCTGAGCCTGCTATCAATAAATATAAATAACTGTGAACTAGGTGGTGGGCTAGTCAGCTTATCTAGTGTTAAGCTGAGGTTCATCTATGCTCTGTCAAAACAGTCGCTGAACTCTGGTCAGTTTTGACATTGTGTTGGTTTCGTATTGGATTTTATTATATTCAGATGATTCACTATTTTACACCCATGGTGTTGCATTTTATTACGAGATTACTGATTACTATCAATATAAAAAATATTCAATATTGAAACACTTTAATATTGAAACGTTTGGTAACCTATTTTTTTTCCACTATTTGGCAATCGGATTGTACAAGTGATTCTCATAAAGTAGAGTACTGAATTTGGTTGTTTTCCTCTCCTCAGTCTCAAGACTGCGAGAGTCTTTGCGCAGAGTTGATACAGAGGGAGTGTATATGAGATGTCTAAGGCTGCATGTATTAAGACGTCGGCAATATTCTGTTCCTGGCCCAAATTCTCTATGGCATATAGATGGTAACCATAAGCGCATAAGGTATTAGTGATATCAGATTTTAAAAATGCATCTCTCTATACATATCTGAAGAAATGTTTCACAACAAAGTTTTTTTGTGTGTTCAAAACTATATGATAGGTGGAGATTTGTTGTCCATGGCGGGTTGGATGGATTCAGTCAATTGGTGGTCTACCTGACTGTGGCTGGCAATAATAGAGCTAGCACTGTCTTACAGAGTTTTGTCACTGCAGTTGAGGAGTATGGGCTGCCATCAAGGGTAGGGTCTGATAAAGGCAGGGAGAATGCAGATGTAGCAGAATTCATGATCAGGAGAACAGGAGCTCTCGCATCACAGGAAGAAGTGTCCACAATCAACAGTAAATACAACATCTGTGTGGCAACTAGATTTACAAACCGTAGCATTTGATTGTATTGTAAAGATTTAGAAAATATACTCATGGAATTTAAAAATGCACACTTTTTTATTTGAAATTATTTTCAAAATCCTATTTTTTTTTCACAAGAAAACAATATTATTCAAACTGAATATTATATTGTTAACAGAATACAGTAATTATAATTTTTAAGCACATTTTTAGCATTGAGCTCAAACAAAACAGAACACACAAGAAGTATTCATTCCCATTGTTTCTTACCAGTGTTACAGAAATGGAACTGTAATTTGTCCTGTTGACTTGCAATAGCAAAAAACCACACACACACAATTGATCATAATTCACCTGTGACTTTTAATTTTTCAGTGTCCTTAACCCTAAAGTGTGCTGCTTAAAAACATCATAATGACTGTTTACTGTTGACAAAATACTGTTGGGTTTGAATAAATACTATTCTATTGTGAATTTCTTTTGAAATTTAATTTGAAAATCAACTCAAATTCCATGAGTTTATAATTATATAAACACATATATATTATATTAACACCTTGTCAATTCCATTATAATTGCAGGATAGAGAGGATGTGGAGAGATGTTTATGAGCATTCCCTAGACCTCTTCTATCAGATCTTCACTTCACTGGAAGATCAGGGAACACTTAATCCAGACAACGAAGTCTATCTTTATGTCCTGCATCGGATCTTCCTTCCACAAATTCAGAGAAGCCTCAGCTCCTTCAGAGATGCTTGGAACTTCCATGGACTGAGAACTGAAAGGAATCAATCACCGCATCAACTCTGGAGCAGACACAGAGAGCAAGGCCCAATGGAGGAGCCTACAGAGGTTCAATAAAGATTCTTCTGAGTGTACTATTAAAACCATAGGTTTCTCAGGAGAGCTGTCTTTGGTAGCTCAAAAAATTTAGAAGTGTTTCTCACTAGTACTTTATTGAAGTATCACCTTCAGCATGTGTTGTTCCTCAAATCTCTTTAAAAAACACATTTAAAAACAGAGCTGATAATTGGACCCACCACCTATTAATAGATGGGTTTCTGTTCTCACTTTGTTTTTATGTTGATTTAATGGTGATATCCACTTGATGATTATGGTGATTGCCACTTTACCAGTTTCAGGAGTTTCTCTGACTGATGCAATTGGATCATATCTGGAGACAGTGCAAATTTTGTCAAGAATCATATGAGACTGATGGCCAAACCAAGCCTTTTATTGTGTGTTACAACAAGCACAAATGCACTGAAAACTGAGGTTTTCTAAACCTTTCCCTTTGTCACTGTTACTGTTGTCAAAAATGTAAAACAATAATCTGCACTTTTGTTGTAAGTAAAACTACTTGTTTATGCTGATGAAGCTAGAAATGCAGGACTGATACCGTTTTGGTAAATAAACAAAATTTTAAAAAGAACAAAATAATTGAAACTACTGCACATTATTTTAAATGTGTTGGAACACTGAACTTGTGTCAAATTGACCTGGTCGATGAAACAAAGCATAGCAATATCACTGCCTGAAAATACTTAAACAAGACCAAATCCAGTGTGTGCACTGTTAATAGCAGCAACAAGTGCTTCCTCAAAGTCTCTATAGGTTTTGTAATGAGCTGGCAGCTTCAGTGTTTCGAAGCACGTGGAGGACGCAGGAAAGGTTCCCCCAGAAATCTCCACTTTGAGTTCAGGAGGAAGCATTTCCCAGCCGACCCAGAACTTCAGCAACTGGGCCAGTGTGTCTGATGAAGCTAAAAAGTCATAACATGGATTAAAGGAAACAGTTGGTGCACTGAAACTGTTCAAATTCTTATACATTTCATACATTCTACAAAGCTGACATGTTTATGGGATATGAAGGCATTTGTAAACAGGGCAACACATGGCCAAGTAAGAGCCATATACCTGTTTCAATGAACATCCTTAGAAAACCAGTGATGCGGCACTTGCACTCGATACCAAATTCTTCATCCTCATCATCACTGTCCTCAACTGGCCATGTGATTTTGTCTAGGAACATCTGAAAGAACAGATTTAGATGTAATTTTCCTTCAACGAGAATTTATACTTTATTTACTGTAATTTATACTACAGAATACTGACTTGGAATTGGAAACATATCCAGCACAGTAGATCACACAGTAAGTTTCACAAATTAACTTATAAATATTCATTTCAAATCACGTAAATGAGTTGAATGTACTGAATTACCTGGGGTACGAACTGCATTTCTGCCATTTTGGGGAAAAGAAGTGGGACAACATCCGGCCTAGATGTCAGCAGGGGCCATAGCATCACATCTTTCAATCCCTTTCTCAGCTGTTTAATTTGGCACATGGTCCTCCCAATGACCTACAAGAGAGGCCAAATCCGTATTATTGACCAAATATTCAAATTCAGCCAAAGTTGGCCGAGAATAAAATGTTCATAAAAACACAATGCAATGCTTGTTGAATTATTCTGGTAAATAGATTTTGTAAAGCATTACATTTTTGTGAGCATCTTTCTTACTATGTCAATTTGTGAGACTGGGGTTGTGTTAACTATTGTGATTGTTCTGTCAATACTTGCAGGAAGGAGAAATGACACGGTAGTTAAAATATGCACTAAATATTTGTTTTAGAAGAACTTCAACATGACAATAGGGAAATAATAAATAACGTGTTCAAATTATTTGACCATTTCCACCCCAGCCAGTGTTACCAGAACAAGTCTGGGTACATAACACTAAGTCTTCTGTGTCTTAACCTGGACAAACTCACTGCATGGACCAGAAATTTGTTGTGTAGCCACCTCTGATTTGTTTTCATGACTGCTGGGAGATCCCACGACATGGAAAGCTCTGAGACAGTGTCCTTCTGTTCCTGAGAAAGTTCTTCAAGTTCAAGCTACAATTGAAATTATAGATGTTACTACACAAGTAATTACAAGTTAAATTAAATACAAGTAATTTTCTGTTTCTCTGTTTAAATTCGTAAGGTCTTCACCTTATTTGTTAAGCGCTGCGAAATGACAAACTGTTGTAATTGCACTATACAAATAAAACTGAAGTGAACTGAACTGAATTGAACTACACCTGCCCTGTTCTTATAGGCAATGTTTTTTAATGTTACATACCATTTTTATGATGTTCCTGATGTGCAGATCACGACAGTCCTCGGCAGCAATTGTTGCCATTTCAGGGTCCCCATTAAACAGTGCATGAATTACAGCAGGACTTAATCCTGTGACACAGGGGCCATCATGCAAAAAGGAGTGGCCCATCATCCTTCCTGCAACCCGGAACAGGTTGCTCTCAATATGTACCTCTGATGCTGCTGGAACGAGATGGTCAGGCTCACCCTCAAATAGCAGTGTTCGGCCTGTTCCTCCTGTATCAACAGAGCACAGGTTAAAAATCATACAATTAAATGTTGACAAGTATGACATTACCCTAGATAAATAGTAGCAAACTCACCAAGATCCAGACTGAATCCAAACTGGAGTTTGGAAATTATTGTTGTCAGAAAGTATCTTGTTACTCCCTGCCCAACAGCAGCATCACCTAAAACAACAACAAAAACTGGTAACACTGAAACAAATCCCAATTCTATTAACCTTATTCATCTCTGATAAAATCAATCTATGTTCACTTTGGGGTTTCACTGTAACAAGGCTATTAATGTTTGATAGGATCCAATGAGTAAATGTAAACAGTTGACCTGTCACGAGACAATGCAGATTATCATGTAATGGTAAATGTAAGCCCAATTACACGATGGGACCAGTAAACCTCTAAAAGAATTCCATAGAGGACACTTAAGTGATATTAACTTTATAGGATATAGATATATTATTAACTCTATATTACTAACCATCAAGGGTACAATGAAGTGGACATGCTCATTCTTGGTGCTGTTTATAGAATGAGAGCAGTGCCCTTTCCTTGTCCTCCTCGTTGTCCCTAATGTCCATCTTCAGTTTAATGGGCTTCCCAGTTGCGTGTTCCCTTAGTAGATTCTCTTTGAAAACTTTAGCAGCTTGAGCTGGTTCTTTAATAAGCTTCCAATCTAGACAACAACAACAAAAAAAAGTTAACTACTTTGCATGTTTGCATGCATGTAGCATGTTAAATGCAGATAGAGGTACTATATAGATAATAGAAAAGGAGGAACACCTGAAAAATGTAATGTAAAATAATGCAACAGTCTTCAAATAGACACTAGTAGAGTCAATTTATACTCACTTTCTGTTCAAAGTTATTCTGATTTGCTCTTTAGGCAAACTAAGCTTCACTAAGAAGCTTATTTGTGTAGATGTATTTTGTTGAACTGTTTTGATTCAGTGTTTCTAAAGTTCTAGCCATGTTTTTGTAGTATACAAGTCCCAAAATATTCAGAACATGTTACTGTACAATTAATCAAGTGTCACAGACTGCAGTCTCCTAAGTGAACACAGAGCGATGTTTGCATATAACAGCAATGAATGACATGTTATTATTGTCAGGACTGCATGCTACAAATGTTATCCCATTGATTGAGTTTAAGTCATGCACAATATCATAGTATTCCTGTTTTGATGACACAAACCACTTTCAGGGTCTTTGGGATCAAAGTCATCACTTTCAATCCCTACTGGTACTACTGCACTTTCAAGAGATGTTTCAGACGTTTCAGGTCTCACTGGAATGCTGTCCCTGACAATGGGTGGCTCGCTATTATTTTCTTTAACACGGTCTCCCTCTCTTTCTCTATCTGATTCCTGCATGGGGGTCCTTGAAGTTAACAAATGTAATGGTCATATTCTCTCATTTGTGTGTACAAAATCTCTAAACGTCATTTTCACATTGAAAAATAAATATGAACTTTTATGTATTTTTAGCAAGTAGACACCCATCACAGCTCGCTCGGTGCAGTTTCATTTCAGAGAAGGGAACTTCCTTCTAACAAGTGATACAGGCGATGACTGGACCAGAGGCACAACCTGAGCTCTCCTAAGAACAAATATGTGTTAATTTTTGATTAATAATCACCAGTGCAATTTATTGTAATTATGTATAAAATGGTGCCACTCTGTAAAATTCCACACACAATCAATGGGTAGGTCCTGCTGAAGTGGATGAATGTAGATTGTAGCCTGTCCAATCATTGTAGATGGATCTTTCGGATAGGCAAGAGTGTACCCTGTGCTGGGACACTGAAGCAACAAAAGATTTCGACTGCGAGTAGATCCTGCAATTTTTAGAAATTCAAAGCCTCCCCCTTCTTGGAGCTTTGGAAAAACTTCCATCAGTTTATCTGTTACAACCATGGGATCACTGTCATTTCCTGTAAATATACACATTGCACATGAATTGACACAGCAAAAACAAACAATAACAGGCCTCTGATAATATATCCACACAAATAAAATCAAGTAACTAAAGTTTGGGTTTATCATATCATTGAGTTCCAGTACAAAAATATAGTTTATGACCGACCTGAAAATGTCACCCTTTGGTCTACAAGTCTTGAAGCCAGAAGGTCTGCTTTAAGCTGAATGCTTGGAACTTTATCAGCCTGATGGTCAGCCAAACAACAGAACGCGTGTCTATAGCTTCTTGGGATTACGTGGCTCTGTGCTGCTGACCGTCTCATCATACGTCTCCTGCTGCCGCTGCCACCGCCGTCATATGGAGCGAAGAGCCTTGCTACCTGGGCTGTAACACAAAGAAAGTTTCACACCCCAAATGGTCACCAGTCAGCTAAAACAGTCCGATATACCAGCTCAGCACAATTTAAATCGTTGTAATTGATAAATTGTGATAAAGAAAGAAGACAAAACAAAACAAGAAATTATACTGCAAGCTGCTGCCATGCTAACACCATTCTCTGACTAGCCAGCATAATTATCAGCTACCACACACAAACAGTTAGCATTTTTCTCCCACTAACATGTCAATATCAAATCTAAATTATAAACTAAGCCCTACATCGGTCGCATGTCATCGTTTAGAAGCACACCTGGCTAACCTTACTTACCTTGGACAGGTGTATGTTGTGGAGTCACAGGTATCTGCTGTGACGGCGCTGCCGGTGAAGTTCTCCTCAGAGCTTCTTCAATCAAATTCGCTGCTTCTCTCAGCAGCTCCGGGCAGGTTTTTGACATCTCTCCTGCACCTCACACGCTGTACAGACACTGGGGTGGCAACCTAAATCACTGCTAAATATCCATTACTCTTGCCTGCAGCAACTCTTTTTTTTTCTTCGTCAAAATAGCGTTTCGAAACAAACATAGAGACGAATACCGCCACCCAATGTATCGGAGTGCATCCAGTGGCTCTACAGAAATCCATTTTCTGGGATCGATCTGTCATGACTTGCTGTGCTGAGTAACCAATCAGATGTTAAAAGCCGCAGTACTCCCGCCTACTGAGTTTGATGGGTGAGCTTGACAGATAAAATACATTCATAATGTGCTGCAGCAGTGCGACCATGAAATAATTAAATAAATAGTGAAATAAATATATATATGTTTTTAAATGAAATGAATTTACATTTTTGATCAATTAATGGCACATTTAAATTAATTAATTAAATAATTGTATGTCTAATAATTTATTTATTTATTCATTTCCAATTTTAATTAACTAATGAAACATTCATTTAATTAATTAATTGTGTATTTATTTATTTCATTTTGGCACATTTCACCCTCCATACTGACCAGCCAAAGGCTGTATGGAAAACAGACATCTGGGTGACTTTCATTGCTCTTCCTTCCTGCTCCCCCTCTCTCTCCCTCTCGATCTGAGGAATGCAATCATGGATGGATAATGTGAAGAAAAGCACAGGAGGATCTTAATGTGCCTTTACTATCTTGTGTTATTTTAAGTGTTGTTAAATTTGAAAACACATAATATCACGGTAAATACCCCAAAACCCTAATCACAGTTGGATAAGTCCTTTATTTTATTAGCTTGCTACATAATCATATATCCAAGAACTGTATAATCTTTGTAACCGTGCAAGATAAATAGCTCATGTTTAGACTCTTTGCGATCCTCTAAATTTGAGATATTTATTTTTAACAGGCTTAACTCTGTATTAGTACAAGTACATATAGTTCTAAAGTAACGCAGTTAATTTTAGAACAAAATTCCTGACCACCTTGACCACAGGGGCATCAAATCTAACACCCCCTCTGGGAGGGGAGTTCTTTGTGATTGGTCAGCTATTTTATTATATATATATTTTTTTAAAAGCCATTCACTTAAAAGACAGACAAATTTTCTACCGGCCACAGAATTTCTCACTTTGGTCCTTGTTACCAATTTCAACTTCAACAACTCATCCAACTCTGCTGAAGCCGAAGGCACATCTGTCCCAACACCAGACGTCACTGTACCCACTCCAGGGTCCAAGGAAAATGCAAGTATTGAGCTTTCTCTCTCTTAAATGGGGGCTTCAAAATTACAATTGGCCTTTAAACAAATATCCCAAATTTAACAGTTTATCTACTGCTTTCAGTGAAAGGCAGTGTAAGTCTCCAGGTCATACTTCTGCACCACATTTGGTTTCTCACTTTTAGATTCTCACTCAGCATTTTCATCATTGTTTGTATTTTATGTTTTATGTTTGTTGTTGTCGTTTGTTGGTTGTAGTTAGTAATAAATGTTTCGTGCCTATAAAGTTCTTTCTTGTGTTTTCTAAAACTTACTTCAGTCACTTTATGTATCCGATTTTTATAATTAGCTAAGCTCAAATTTAATTCCCTGGTAAAAGTGGAATTGTGATATTATAAAACACTCTTGACTGAAAATCAAGTGTGAACTTTTTATTCGAATTACTGTGCTGACTCGGAGATTATATTGCTGGACGAGTAATTTAAAGGTCAGTTTTGATCATTTTAATTAATGCAATAATTTTCTTCATTGTGGAGACAAGTCTACCTTATTTCCCCCCTACAGTATTTGAAACTAGTAGTTGTAACTGTCTGAAATTCATGTTAAGTTCGGTGAAGGAACAAGTTAAGTTATCAAGTCAATTTTACTAAGTTACCTCAACTTTAATTTACTTTTAAATCAATTAATGCACAAATATGAGTTTAAATTACATACATTGTCACGTGGTTACTAATATTATTATGGCAGAATGTAACTATTCATTCAATTACGTGGTGGGAATAGGTCCCATGGATTACTTCTTAGGATATATACATACATTTATACAAGAGAACAACAACCAATTTCAACACAACAAAGGAAACTAAGACATGACACAACAAAAGACAAGTAAAATTGCAATGTTTAGTAGCACTGAAAACATCATTTACAGAAGTACTCGTTTGCAAACTATTGACCTTAACCATTTTGCAATTTCTAGTTGGACAGATAAACATCTGAACATTCCAGATAATAAAGACAACTACGTTCAAGTAAACAGAATGATTGTCTTAAGTGTTCATTGTCCTTATGTTGCTTTGGTGTGAGCTGTGTCTGACTCATTGAATGTAAATTGTGGATATAAGCCTGCCATTAGCCACACTTCAAATGCCCTTTACTACAGGAAACAACACCAACCTGCAGAATAGCAACCATATTCAAAATTTTAAATTTCAATGGAGGCTTGATCAAGGCCTCTTCTCAACTTTTCTTTTGATATGGCTGTACAACAAGATCTGTGTTTTCTTTGAAGATTATATTTCTCTGTAGTTCTGATGGAGATTAGTTTGTGAGCCAGTCACAAGACATTTGGTTGGAACAAAACATATATGAGCTTTGGTCTGCTCTGGAGGTCTGCCGTAAGACAATTATGTTATTTATTTGGACTCAACTTTACATCGTACTGACAACTGGGATATGCATTGCTTTCTTGGTCACACATCTGGTGTGTATTAGTGTCTGTCTGTTTATTGTTTGTTGAACAAAGTAGACACTTGTATCAGTTTTAAGTCTTCACTGTCTCAATCTCAGATCCAGAGCCATAGGAGGAGCACCTGCTGTTTCTTTGTTTTAGGTAAATCATGGCTGATTGATCCTACAGTGACGTGGTGACTACTTGGAGAGGGATTTTTTTTCCAGCTTTCTTCATGAGAAAAATGAAGTGTGTTCATATTATTTTGTTTGCATATTCCTCAAAAAAATCTGTATCATTTGCAACACCAACTATGAAATAAAACTGATTCCTTTGTGATGTGATTTTAACAGAGATTGACAATAATTACTCTCACAGCTCCCATGAAAGAACTCCACACACAGCTGTGCAGGTACTTGCACTATCATAACTCTTTTCAACTTTCTAGTTGGAATCTTTGCGGTTTAAAAACACCAGCCCTCACTCCTCTTTGTCCTGCT